ATATACTTTTCATTGGGATCTATGGGTGCGGCAGATGTGGACAATATGAAGAGATTAGTCAATATTTTGTCCAAATCTAAGCACAGGTTTATTGTATCGAAAGGACCCCTTCATGACGAGTACTCATTGGCTGATAATATGTGGGGCGAGGGGTCTGTCCCTCAGATCCAAGTCTTACCGTTAGTTGATTTGGTCATAACCCACGGCGGGAACAATACTGTCACCGAAACCTTTTATTTTGGCAAACCTATGATTGTTTTGCCAATTCTTGCCGACCAATATGCGAATGCCCAGAGAGTTCACGAGAAAGGGTTTGGTATACGAGTCGATGCTTACAAGTGCTCTGAAGAGGAGTTATTGAATGCAATCGAAAGTCTGTTAAATAATAAGGAATTGAATGAAAAACTGATGAAAATATCGCAAAGAATACAATCGGATAATAGTATTGCAAAACTTCCCCAAATTATTGAAAAAATAGTTTTGAAAAGCATTATTTGTTGCAAATAATAGCATTTTAAACATAAATAAAATATAATTACTTCTTTCAAGCTAACATTAGTTATATTTATTTTATGTTTATTTCTATGCAACAATTTATTTTTCAATACTCCCGGTATATTGCATAAGAATATTGTTATTTGTTGTCATGATATAATCGTTGGCATTAATCTAACAAATGTTTGTTACAAACAATATATGTAATTTACAAAATATTTTTCATACTAAATAAATTTAGCAAATATCAAAAATAACTTAGTTTTTGTTGCATTATTTGTATAATTATTACTTAAATTTTCCTACAATACTAAATATGAACATTATAAACAAAGTCAAATTGTTTATATCTACCATATTTAATTACGGTAACAAACCAATTAAAATAGCCATAGTTGGTCTCAAACAAACTGGCAAAACACACTTGATGTTTAAGTTTAAAAGGCTTGGTTGGTATTTATGCGATATACCTGCGCCCGGTTTGGTTGTGGATATTAATAAATGTGATAATTTATTCATCAACTCGTTTAGTATTGAAAATGATAATTCCTGCCATGAATTATGGCAACCATACTATGCGTTCAGTACAGCACTTGTCGTACTCGTAGACAGTTGTGATGCCTCACGTTTTCCCGACGTTCAGCACGTGTTATACGACGTGCTATTAACTGATGATCATCTCCGGGACACCGCCGTTATGATTGTATGTACTAAACAAGACTTACCTGGTGCTATATCACCAACTGTGATTCGTGGCGCGCTTGAACTTGATACTAATTTACGTGGTCGTAAATGGAGATATCTAGGTATTTGTACGCATAATATGGATGATATTAATAGATTTTTAAACGAGTTATGTAAGTTAGTCAAATAATAATAATTAATAATTGTAGAAATATTAATGGATATAACTCAATTACTAAATGTTCCCTGTGCTTTATTAGTTGTAACGTATTGTTAGTATTTTTATTTAATATAACCATTGTAAAACATAAACATTATAATCCTGTATCTGCAGAATATTGTAGATGTGTATGAATTATATCACGTAAAATATACCTGTATACCAGAAATTCACATTAATCACATAAGTTTTATACAAATAACGATGATAAAATATATTCACATTAAAA